TCTGCATGATCACAAACCTGGAGATCAAGTGAGCTATCAGAAAGAAGGCTGGAGTAGTCACTGCTTACTCAAGCCAGGCATCTCCAAAGAAGTAAATGATTACTAATCTGTATGTGCTAATGATGAACAATACACTTTTCCCAAACTCCTACCATTCTCAGAGAATCAAAATCAATAATAACATCACTGTTATTTTGCTCTACTTTTATTTCTAAATGATTATCTCACTTTTATAAGGAATGGTGGCAAAGAAGTTAATAATTTTTCAAAGTTTTATTTATTTGATTATTTGAAGGCAGAGTGACAGAACAGAGGGACAGAAGGGTCACCCATCTGCTGGATTACTCCATAAATGCCTTCAAAAATCAGAGTTGGGACAAGCCAAAGCCAGGAGCCAGGAAATCCATTCAGGTCTCCCATACAAAAATCAAGAACCTATATACTTGTGTCATCATCTGTTGCCTCCCAGACAAATTAGCAGGAAGCTTGATTGGAATCAGAGAGAGAACTCAATCCCCATGGGCTTCACTGATATGGGATGCAGGCATCCTAAACACTACTTAATCTGCTTAACACTACATAACACTACCTAATTAACAAATATTAATTAACTATAATTAACTAATGCCTACACCAATTATCATTTTTATGAGTAAACTGCCCTTACACAGACTTCTTGGACTAATAATTTGAGTCCCAAACCCCGAAGTTCAAATTTCCAGTCTAATGTTTATCACATTTTATTAGTTTCCTGTAACTTTGTGCTCATAAAGAGCTGGAGCAGTGATTATCAACCTTGACACTATTGACATTTGCACCAGATGATTCTTTGTTGGGAGATAAGGGAGGGAAGTTGTGCTGCACATTTTAGGGTGTTTAGCATCCCTGTCCTTTGTCCACTAAATGGCAGTAGCACCTCTCCTATTTTGATGACCAAAAATGGCTCTAGATATGGCCAAATGTTCTCTGGGGCCAGAGTCACACAATTCAGAACAATGTAAATTTAACTTTTACATTAACAAAGGAAGCGTTTAAATCCATTAGGAACTTAATCACACTTTGTTAAAAATTATAGTATTTGTTACTAGAAACAGTATCGCATACGAAAAATAAAATTGACACACCATTGACTCAACTAACCAAAAAAAAAGGAGCAAGAAGACGCAAATCAATAAAATTAAAGATGAAAAAGGGAATGTAATTAGACACCACTGAAATGAAAAGTCATCAAAAATGATTAGAAAGAGTTGTATGCCAACAAACTGGGAAATCTGTCAGAAATGGATAGATTCTTGGACACATACAACCTACCTAAATTGAACCATGAAGACACAGAAAACCTAAACAGACCCATAACCTAGTCAGAAATTGAATCAGTAATAAAGGCCTCCCCAACAAAGAAAAGCCCAAGACTGGATGGATTCACTGCTGAATTCTACCAGACATTCAAACTTTTCAAAATAATTGAAAGAGAGGGAATCCTCCCAAATTCTTTCTATGAAGCCAGCATCACCTTAATTCCTAAACCTGAAAAAGATGCAGCAGAGAAAGAAAATTACAGACCAATTTCCCTGATGAACATAGACACAAACATACTCAATAAGATTCTCACCAAGAGAATTCAACAACACATCAGAAATATCATCCACCCAGACCAAGTGGGATTTATCCCTGGTATGCAGGGATGGCTCAACGTTCACAAATAAATCAATATGATACACTACATTAACAAACTGCAGAAGAAAAAGCACATGATTATCTCAATAGATGCAGAGAAAGCATTAGATAAAATACAACACCCTTTCATGATGAAAACTCTTTTTTTTTTTTTTTTTGACAGGCAGCGTGAACAGTGAGAGAGAGAGAGACAGAGAGAAAGGTCTTCCTTTTGCCGTTGGTTCACCCTCCAATGGCCGCTGCGGCCGGTGTGCTGTGGCCTCATGATGAAAACTCTAAGCACATTGGGTACAGAAGGAACATTCCTCAACACAATCAAGCCAATTTATGAAAAATTCACAGCCAGCATCATATAGAATGGGGAAAGTTGGAAGCATTCCCACTGAGATCCAGTACCAGACAGGGACACCCACTCCTACCATTGTTATTCAATATAGTACTGGAATTGTAGAGTCATTAGGCAAGAAAAAGAAATTAAAGAAATACAAATTGGAAAGGAAGAAGTCAAACTATCCCTCTTCGCAGACGATGTGATTCTTTATTTAGGGGATTCAAAGAACTCTACTAAGAGACTATTGGAAATCAGAGAAGAGTTTGACAAAGTAGCAGGGTATAAAATCAATGCACAAAAATCAACAGCCTTTGTATACACAGGCAATGTCACAGCTGAGAAAGAACTTCTAAGATCAATCCCATTCACAATAGCTACAAAAACAATCAAATACCTTGGAATAAATTAACTAAGGACGTTAAAGATCTCTATGGTGAGAATTACAAAATCTTAAAGAAAAAAATAGAAGAGCATACCAAAAAAATGGAAAAATCTTCCATGCTCATGGATTGGAAGAATCAATATCATCAAAATGTCCATTCTCCCAAAAGCAATTTACAGATGCAATGCGATACCAATCAAGATACCAAAGACCTTCTTCTCAGATCTGGAAAAAATTATGCTGAAATTCCTATGGAGAAGCAAGAGAACTCGAATAGGTAAAGCAATTTTGTATAAGAAAAACAAAGCCAGAGGCATCACAATACCAGATTTCAAGACTTACTATAGGGCAGTTATAATCAAATCAGACTGGTAATGTTACAGAAAGAGATAGGTAGACCAATGGAACAGAATAGAAACACCAGAAATCAATCCAAACTTCTACAGCCAACTCATATTTGATCAAGGATGTAAAACCAATTCCTGAAGCAAGGACAGTCTATTCAATAAATGGTGCTGGGAAAACTGGATTACTACGTGCAGAAGCATGAAGCAAGACCCCTACCTTACACCTTACACAAGAATCCACTCAACATGGATTAAAGACCTAAATCTACGACCCGACACCATCAAATTATTAGAGAACATTGGAGAAACCCTGCAAGATTAGGCTCAGGCAAAGACTTCTTGGAAAACACTTCAGAGGCACAGGCAATCAAAGCCAAAATTAATAATTAGGATTACATCAAATTGAGAAGTTTCTGTACTGAAAAAGAAACAGTCAGGAAAGTGAAGAGGCAACCAACAGAATGAGAAAAAAATATTTGAAAATTATGCAACTGATAAAGGATTAACAACCAGAATCTACAAAGAGATCAAGAAACTCCACAACAACAAAACAAACAACCCACTTAAGAGATGGGACAAGGACCTAAGCAGACATTTTTCAAAAGAGGAAATCCAAGAGGCCAACAGACACATGAAAAAATGTTCAAGATCACTAGCAATCAGGGAAATGCAAATCAAAACCACAATGAGGTTTCACCTCACCCCAGTTAGAATGGCTCACATTCAGAACTCTACCAACAACAGATGCTGGCGAGGATGTGGGGAAAAAGGGACATTATTCCACTGCTGGTGGGAATGCAAACTGGTAAAGCCACTATGAAGGTCAGTCTGGAGATTCCTCAGAAACCTGAATATAACCCTACCATACAACCCAGCCATCCAGCTCCTCAGAATTTACCCAAAGGAAATTAAATTGGCAAATAAAAGAGCTGTCCACACCTCAATGTTTATTGCAGTTCAATTCAAAATAGCTAAGACCTGGAATCAATCTAATGCCCATCAACAGAAGACTGGATAAAGAAATTTTGGGGACCAGCACCGTGGCTCAATAGGCTAATCCTCCACCTGTGGTGCCGGCACACCAGGTTCTAGTCCTGGTCAGAGCACCAGATTTTGTCCCAAATGCTGCTCTTCCAGTCCAGCTCTCTTCTGTGGCCCAGGAGTGCAGTGGAGGATGGCCCAAGTCCTTGGGCCCTGCACCTGCATGGGAGACCACGAGAAGCACCTGGCTCCTGGCTTCAGATCAGTGTGGTGCACTGGCTGCAGCGGCCATTGTAGGGTGAACCAATGGCAAAGGAAGACCTTTCTCTCTGTCTCTCTCTCTCTCTCTCACTGTCCACTCTGCCTGTCCAAAAAATAAATAAATAAATAAATAAATAAAAATTAATTAAATTTAAAAAAGAAATTATGGCATATGTACTCTATAGAAAGCTACACAGTGGTTTAAAAAAATGAAATCCAGTCATTTGCAACAAAATGGAGGAATCTGGAAACATCATGCTGAGTGAAATAAGCCAGTCTCAAAGAGACAAATATCATATGTTCTCCCTGATCGGTGATAACTAACTGAGCACCTAAAAGGAAACCTGTAGAAGTGAAACTTACAGTATGAGAAACAATGATTTGATCAGCCCTTGTCCTGGCTGTGATGGAACAGCTTACTACTTTTTTTTTCAGTATTTTCTTTTTCTACTTAATACCATTGGCTGAACTCTTTAATTAACACACAATTATTCTTTGGTGTTTAAATTTAACTGAAAAGTGATCCCTGTTAAAAAAGAAGAGTGGCAATAAGAGAGGGAGGAGACACACAGTTTGGCACATGCTCACTTGGACTTACTCCTAATGGTAGAGCCAGAAACATGGCATGGGACTCCAAATTTCATTAAGCTGGCAGGTTCCAATGACATCTTACTTCTTAAAGTGTTCGGTTTAAGTTCATAATTGATGAAAAAGATAGGGTTAAGTGTCAAAGGCATCACATAATAAGACTAGTGTCTGCTAATAATAATTTATAGAATTAAAAAGGAGACAAGAGCCCAACATGCAAAGTGGTATACACAGCTGATTCATAGAATGGCAAAAGCCCTAAACACACTCTGGCCTCAGAATCAGCCCTTAAGGCATTCAGATCTGGCTAAAAAGCCTATGAGAGTTTCTCAGGCATGGAAAGCCAAGACACTGTGGCAACAAATGACCTAAAAGAAAGACCTCTGTGAGTGAGGTCTCAGCGGAAAGAACAGGCCATCAAAGAAGGAGGTACCTTTCTCTGAAGGGAGGAGAGAACTTCCACTTTGACAATGGCCTTGTCTAAATAAGGTCGGAGTTGGCGAACTCAAGAGGCTTCCATAGCCTTGGCAGCTGATGACAAGAGCCTCAGGTCATTACTGACATCATAAATAAGAATGTCACTTGGTAAATCAACAATAGGAGTCACTGTGCAATTACTCCCCATGTAGGATCTTTGTCCTTAATGTCTTGTGTGCTATGTTAATTAACAGTAAAACTAGTACTCAAATAGTACTTTATACTTTATATGTCTGTGCAGGTGCAATCTGTTGAAATCTTTACTTAGTATATACTAAGTTGATCTTCTATATATAAAGATAATTAAAAATGAATCTTAATGAAGAATGGGGTAGGAGAGGGAGTAGAAGATAAGATGGTTTGTGGGTGGGAAGGAGGTTATGGGGGGAAAACCGCTATAATCCAAAATTTGTACTTTCAAAATTTATATTAAATAAAAGCTTTCTTTAAAAAAGAAAACCTTATGATTAATAAAATGTACTTTATTCACATAAAAATACTATCACAAACACCTAATATAAGTTCTAATTATGCTACAGTGTAGCAGTGAGTTAAATCATTTCTTTGGTGACCAATAAACAATGCAGAGGACCCTTCTTAATCAAATACATATATTACATTAAAATTTTATGGTAACCATACACTGATAGTCCACTTGCATGTGATAAAAATGTGAAGGCACACATCATCTCTTGGTTAATCATCCAGCAACTGTGGCATTACATAGACATTCTCAAAACGCTGGTAACTATCCTGTAATACCACATTGTATATGGACGATAGAATAAAAAAGGGAGAGAATGATCCAACATGGGAAACAGGATACACAGCAGACTCATAGAATGGCAGATGTCCTAAACAGCACTCTGGCCTCAGAATCAGCCCTTAAGGCATTCGGATCTGGCTGAAGAACCCATGAGAGTATTTTAGGCAGCAAAAGCCAAGACACTCTGGCCAAAACACAAGGAAAAAAATATAAAAAAAAAAAAAAAACCTAAATGAAAGGTCTCTGCAAGTGAGATCCCAGTAGAAAGAATGGGCCATCAAAAGAGGAGGTACCTTTCTCTGAAGGGAGGAGAGAACTTCCACTTTGACTATCACCTTGTCCAAATAAGATCAAAGTCGGTGAACTCAAAAGGTTTCCATAGCCTTGGCAACTCATGACTAGAGCCTAGGGACATTTCTGACACCATAAACAAGAGTGTCAAATTGTTAAGTCAAAAAAATGGAGGAGGCAAGATGGCGGAATAGGAAGGGAGCACACTGAGAGTCCGTGGAGAGACAGTTTAATAAAAGTGGAGATACTGCAGGTTCAAGGAAGACTAGGGGAGGAAACAGCAGAAGAAACTCTTCCAGAACGTGTGATTCACAGTGGACCTGCGTGGAGAGCGTGGGAGCCCACAATTCGGGACACCAGAGGCAGACTCAACACACCAGCACTGGAACGCGAGGTGAGCTGAACCTCAATAGCCCGAGACACCGGCAGGCAAGCGGAGAGAGGAGACTAGAGGGAACGACCCCCGGGGGGGGAAAAGTTCACCAGGCTAACTGGAAGAGAGAGAGAGAGAAAAAAAAAAGGTGACTGGTACGGACACGGGTTTCTCTCTCTCCGCTCACCTCTCAAGGGCGAGCAAGACAAAGAGCAGGCACCATCTTGGACATACGTCATAAGCAGAGCGACCTCAGGTCTGCACCGGCCCTGAGCCTAGCAGAAAAACCTGACTCTGGGCGGGGCGAATTAACAGAAGATTAGGACCTAGTAAATCTGTGGTGCTACTGAACTGAGACTGTGAAAAAAGAGACAGTGGGGGAGAGAACTCACGGAATTCACATGAGTACTCTCCAGAGACGCTACAATTCTGTAACTTTGGCAACCCAGTGGGAGACTGAAGGAGAATCTGAGCCCACCCTGAGGGCAGAACAGATTCCCTGTGTGGTCCTTGGGAAAGAGCTTCCAATCTCTGGCTCCTGTGGATCTATCATTTGCCTGCTAACTACCTCCAACTTTATTCAGCTATGCGGAATTACTTCCCTTTTGAATCAAGAAAAGAAAGAGAGAGAGAGGGAGAGATCTACCACGCCTAACCTGGGAGTGTCACCTTTGGCACACCAAACAGAGCTCTCAGGCCACACCCATCTCAAGCCTCTAAGGCTCCATCAAAAACAGACAGTCCACTTAATCTAGAGTCATAGTATAACAAGAAAAAGCACAACAGTGAAGAAACCAAATATCTCCAATATGCCAAATAACAAACGCAAAAACCAAGGTAATAAAAACAAGGAAGTCACCATGAAGCCCCCAAATGAAAAAGACACCCCAATTCAAGATTATGAAGATGATGACATAGAAGAAATGCAAGAAGCAGATCTCAAAAAATTGATAAGAACATTAAGAAGTTCTCAAAAACAAATTCTTGAACTACAGAAATCCTTAATGGACAAGATAGAAAATCTCTCCCGTGAAAATGAAATATTAAGGAGGAATCAAAATGAAACGAAACAACTAGTACAACAGGAAACTGTGATAGTGACGAGAAATCATAATGAAGTGAAGAATTCAATAGATCAAATGAAAAACACAATAGAGAGCCTTACAAACAGAATGGGTGAAGCAGAAGAGAGAATATCAGACTTAGAAGACAGAGAACAGGAAAGGATACAGTCAGACCAAAGAAAAGAAGAGGAAATTAGAAATCTAAAACATATTGTCAGCAATCTTCAGGATACTATTAAAAAACCCAACATCCGGGTTCTAGGAGTTCCTGAAGGCATGGAGAGGGAGAAAGGATTAGAAGGCCTTTTTAGTGAGATATTAGCAGAAAATTTCCCAGGTTTGGAGAAGGACAGAGAAATCCTAGTACAGGAAGCTCACAGAACCCCTAATAAACATGACCAAAAGAGATCCTCACCATGACACGTTGTAATTAAACTCTCCACAGTGAAACATAAAGAAAAGATCCTAAAATGTGCAAGAGAGAAACGTCAGATTACTCTCAGAGGATCTCCAATCAGACTCACAGCTGACTTCTCATCAGAAACCCTACAAGCTAGGAGGGAAAGGCGAGATATAGCCCAGTTACTAAGTTAGAAAAACTGCCAGCCCAGAATATTATATCCTGCAAAGCTATCATTTGTGAATGAAGGTGAAATAAAGACTTTTCATAGCAAACAGAAATTGAAAGAATTTGTTGCCACTCGTCCAGCCCTGCAAAAGATGCTTAAAGATGTGTTACACACAGAAACACAGAAACACGGTCATCAATATGAAAGAAGATAAAGAAAGGAAACCTCACAGCAAAAGATCACAGGGAATTCAAAGCATATATTAGAACTTATCTTTGGCAAATGGCAGGGCAAAGTTACCACTTATCATTAGTCACATTGAACGTGAATGGCCTGAACTGTCCAGTTAAAAGACACTGATTGGCTGATTGGGTTAAGGAACAAAACCCATCTATTTGCTACTTACAAGAAACACATCTTTCCAACAAAGATGCATACAGACTGAAAGTAAAAGGCTGGAAAAAGATATACCATGCCAACAGAAATGAAAAAAGAGCGGGCGTAGCCATCTTAATATCGGACAACATAAACTTTACCACAAAAACTGATAAGAGAGACAAAGAGGGACACTATATAATGATTAAGGGATCAATACAACAAGAAGATATAACAATTATCAATGTATATGCACCTAACTACAGGGCACCAGTTTATCTAAAAGATTTGTTAAGTGACTTAAAGGGAGACTTAGACCCCAATGCAATAGTACTGGGGGACTTCAATACTCCACTCTCAGAAATAGACAGATCAACAGGACAGAAGATCAACAAGGATACAGTAGATTTAAACGACACTATAGCCCAAATGGATCTAACAGATATATACAGAACTTTCAATCCTACAGCTAAAGATTTTACATTCTTCTCAGCAGTACATGGAACCTTCTCTAGGATTGGCCACATACTAGGCCATAAAGCAAGTCTCAGCAAATTCAAAAGAATTAGAATCATACCATGCAGCTTCTCAGATCATAAAGGAATGAAGTTGGAAATTAGCAACTCAGGAATCCCTAGAGCATACGCAAACACATGGAGATTGAACAACATGCTCCTGAATGAACAGTGGGTCATAGAAGAAATTAAACGAGAAATCAAAAATTTTCTGGAAGTAAATAAGGATAACAGCACAACATACCAAAACTTATGGGACGCAGCAAAAGCAGTGTTAAGAGGAAAGTTTATATCAATAGGTGCCTACATCAAGAAATTGGAAAGGCACCAAATAGATGAGCTGTCAACACATCTCAAGGATCTAGAAAAACTACAGCAAACCAGACCCAAATCTAGTAGGAGAAGAGAAATAATGAAAATCAGAGAAGAAATCAACAGGATTGAATCCAAAAAAACATTACAAAAAATCAGCCAAACGAGGAGCTGGTTTTTTGAAAAAATAAACAAAATTGACACCCCATTGGCCCAACTAACTAAAAAAGAAGAGAAAAGACCCAAATCAATAAAATCAGAGATGAAAAAGGAAACGTAACAACAGACACCACAAAAATAAAAAGAATCATCAGAAATTACTACAAGGACTTGTATGCCAGCAAACAGGGAAACCTATCAGAAATGGATAGATTCCTGGACACATGCAACCTACATAAATTGAACCAGAAAGACATCGAAAACCTAAACAGACCCATAAGTGACAGAAATTGAAACAGTAATTAAGGCCCTCCCAACAAAGAAAAGCCCAGGACCAGATAGATTCACTGCTGAATTCTACCAGACATTTAAAGAAGAACTAACTCCAATTCTTCTCAAACTATTCAGAATAATCAAAGAAGAGGGATTCCTCCCAAATTCTTTCTATGAAACCAGCATCACCTTAATTCCTAAGCCGGAAAAAGATGCAGCGTTGAAAGAGAATTACAGACCATTATGCCTGATAAACATAGATGCAAAAATCCTCAATAAAATTCTCGCCAATAGAATGCAACAACACATCAGAAAGATCATCCACCCAGACCAAGTGGGATTTATCCCTGGTATGCAGGGATGGTTTAAT